CGGCTTGTGTACTGCATCATCACTGTGTCTGTCACGCGACTCTGTTGCCCTTTCGGCTTGAACTGATGGTAAAACTATCAACATTATTAACTGTCTTGATATTTACTTTGAAAGCTTAAGCTCGCGATTATAGTGAGAGGCGTTTCATTTCCGACGCGTGCTTGTGGTGTTCGGCCAATCACAATGCACTGGGTCAGCTGGCCAATCAGAGCAGACTGCGCTTGTCAAAGGAAGGGGCTTTGTTGAAAACGACGTGTTTGAGAGAGGCGGGGCATAGAGGACCTACAATAATGTACAGTATTTGAAAAATAATGTGTTTTTTGAACATTAAAGCACGCCAACATATTCTGTTACACCAAATACACAAAATAATGATCTTTAAAATAGCACCATATGACCCCTTTAAAATCACTGAAGCTGTTTACACTGTGAAATGAATATCTTACTTAAAGATTCATACACACATCTGCAGTTTGTTGTTTCTAACGAGAGAATTCACCAGAAAGAGCTATTCAGTCAGCGAGCTAGTGAAGAAAACACAGGCATTTTAGCGATGACTCATCTGAACGCCTCTGATTGGTCATTGCATTCATAAGCTCAACAGCATCATGTGTGATTGGTTATAATGCGCAGTGTTGTAAAAATGCGTCAACGCGTTTGTCTCTGGCTCAGCGCCAGCCAGCGAACTTAGATTTGAATTTAGCAGGTTGTGTATTTCCTCTCGCAGAACTGAGTCATTCCGCTCCCGTACAGTGAATATTAACACACCGTTGAAACGGGGCGGCCTGCGGAAGAACTGAAGCGTGTAGCCGTTCTTTATTGATTTCATAACCCACTCTAATACCCCTGGCAGTGCCTGCCATGCTTCTGTGAACTGTGACAGCGGGCCAGTTGGACTGGACACCGTGAGGGATAACTCGCCGTTGGGGGACGAGGAGTTTAATACCACACGAGTGTGAGAGTGAGTGATGGGGGAGAGGGGAGTGAGAGGAGGAGAATTCCGTTCTTTATTGATTTCATAACCCACTCTGATACCCCTGGTAGTGCCTGCCACGCATCTGTGAATTGTGACAGCGGGCTAGGCAGACTGCACACCGTGAGGGATAACTCACCGTTGGGGGGCGGGGAGTTTAATACCACACGGGTGTGAGAGTGAGTGATGGGGGAGGGGAGTGAGAGGAGGAGAATTGCTTTGATATTGAGGTGAGTTTTGTATGTTTTCGACTTTATTGCACTGCATAGTGGAACAGTCAAAACACAAACATGACAATTGCTCTCGCCACCCGCAACAGGCAGGGGGGCGTGGTGAACTCACACAGCAGAGTGAGAAGACTTTTTCAGTGGCTCGTCTTCGGGGCTGGGTGCAGATTTCCTCCTCCGAGAGACAGCATCAGGAACGCGGCTTTGATTCCGGTGCTGGTGGCCTGCCGTCTCTGTCAGGGCGGGGTCTCTGGCCCTTCGAGCCCTGACGGCGCTTCGGCCAAGGCTGTCTTGGTCTCACCGCCGGCTGATGATCGTGCCGAACAGCAGCAGAAGAGGTGTGCGGTATTCCCGCGCGCTGCACTGAGGAGGAGTGGGAACGCGCAGGAGGGTTCGCGCCGGTGCGCTTTGGCAGGAAGTGGCTAATAGCTTTCGACTGTTTCTGCGCTTCAACGAAGCGCTCCGTGAACGTCTCTACCACTGTGGCGAAGAGACCTGAGGGATTCACGGGAGCGTCCAGAAAGGCCGTTTTTTCCGAGTCCTTTAACTCGGTCAGAGTAAGCCACAGCTGACGATCTAGCACAAGATTCCCCATGTTGCAGCCGATCGTTTGGGCCAGATCCATGGCGCGTCGGAGCTCTTTGAACACTTAAGGGTCCGGCCCGTCCTCATCAAGAGACTTGAGCAGCTTGGCCTGATACACCTGGAGTATCGCCATCACGTGCAGTGCTGAAGTTGCTTGGCCCGCTGTGGAGAAAGCCTTGCCGGCGAAGTTTGCAGTGGCGCGGCAAGGTTTAGAGGGGAGAGACGCGTTGTTTCTCACTCTCCAGTTCACCATGGCTGAAGGAAAGAGATGGGCTGCGACGGCTTCTTCCACAGAGGGGAGTTTAACATACCCCACTTGGTCAGCGCCGTCCACAGAAGACAGGAGGGAGGATCCCGGGTTGTGCACTCGACTGGTGAGCGGCGCGTTCCACGACTTCGTTATCTCATAGTGCACCTCGGGGAAAAAGGGGCTGGGCCTCTTTTTAGGGGGGCTGATCACCATTTACAGAATGATTATAGTAACATCTGTATAAAATCTAGTGATCATTGGCTAGGCTATAACATATAGTAATGTAATTTATTTTTTATTCTATCACTATCCCCTTGGTGATTTATAAACGCTACCACTGTCACGCTGTCTGTCCTGATTAGAATGTGATGGTGGAGAATGTCCGGGAGAAAGCACTCAAACGCTAGGTGTACAGCACGGAGCTCCAGACAGTTTATGTGCCACAACTTCTCCCTTTCTGACCACGTCCCGAAGGCTGGTCTGCCGTCCAGGGGCGATTCTAAGATTTTCATTTTAGGGGGGCTCAGCCCCCAATGAGGGTATAATAATACAAAAAAATAATAAACATATAAATAAAATAAAAAATTATTGTCTAATAGGGTAAGGTGGTTTTATATTAAAAATAAAAATTTCAAATAAAAATGGCAACATGATCGTTTTATATAGTATGTGTTTATGTGTGTTAAGGGCTAAATTTTTCTCTGGAGGAAACAGCTGTGGTGTGATGAGGGGTGAACGCAGCGAAAACCTTACAAGAGATGGAAAACCGATTGCTCCCCCATGATATTTTGTAAACTGGATTTATGACAAAGAACTGCACAGATGCAGATATTATAACAATCTATCGATAAACACTTACACACCTTGTCCTCTGTATCTCACTCTGCGCCACCGCGGTCAGCGGATTGAAGAATGTGCTGAAAGACGGGGAGGAGCCGATCGAAGTCTGCCGCCATTTTCATATGAAATTTAAAGGGGACTGAGACGATCACGTATTCGTGTACAGTTTATGGAGCTAATCGCTACAGCCCCCCTAAAAATGGCCTAGCGGCGCCCATGCTGCTGTCGCATACGGCTCCCCAGCCCGTGCTCAATGCATCTGTTGTAACAGTCTTTCTCCTGATCACTTGGCCAATAAGAACACCCCCGCGATACAGAATCATATTGCGCCAAGGGGTCAGCGCATCCCAGCAGTCGCGCGTCACTTTGATGCGCAGGGTTCCCGTGCACCATGCGCTCTGTGGCACCCGGCCCTTTATCCAGAGCTGAAGCGGTCACATATGTAGGAGCCCTAGTTTGCGCGCAGTGGAGGCGGCAGCCATCTGGCCGAGGGTCCTCTGAAAGCATTTCAGCGGGGGAGAGTGCCCTAACCTGAAGACTGCGAGAGAGCTGATCAGTTTTTGTGACCGCTCCTCTGACAGACACGCTGGCATATTGATTGAATTCAGCTCCACTCCTAAAAAGGAGATGTTCTGGCTCGGTACCAGCATGCTCTTTTGCATATTCACAGTCAGCCCTAAGCTCTGAAGATGAGCGAGGAGTCTGAGCTTGTCGGTGAGCAGCGCCAAGGGCGTCATGCACTCATTATTTTAGCCACAATAGCACTCGTGTTTTTTTCCCCCTTTTTATTCGAAACATTCCCAAACGCATTAACTATATCATGCAATATCTCGATTCTCACCTTTATAAATTGTTACTTGATCTATAGTGAGCGATGGTCAAAGTAGCCTAACAATGTAGGCTAGTCTATTAACTATACATAAAATCCTGTCTGTTTGCTTAAGTAACAGATTGAGAGAATTCGCCAGAAAGAGCTATTCAGTCAGCGAGCGAGTGAAGAAAACGCAGGCATTTTAGTGATGACTCATCTGAACGCCTCTGATTAGTCATTGCATTCATAAGCTCAACAGTATCATGTGTGATTGGTTATAATGCGCAGTGCTGTAAAAACGCGTCGACGTGTTTGTCTCTGGCTCAGCGCCAGCCAGCGAACTTAGATTTGAATTTAGCAGCTGATGATATGATGCACTGAACGATTTAATCATGCTGGTGTGATTGTATAAAATGTAGAAAATATTAATCGGCTATTTTTTGTCTTTTGGAAGCTGCATTCAAAATCCACTTGGCTCAAAAATCTGAGGGGGCATGTGCCCCCTCACTTTGAATGGGCATGACGCCTCTGAACAGCGCACTCTCTGATTGGGCTAAGACTAGCCAATCGTCGAGATAGTTCTTTCGTAAACGTACGAGGGGCCAGGGATAAACCGAAGGGTAGGATCGTGAATTTGTATGCTATCTCCTCGAATGTAAATCTCAGGAAACGCCTGTGGCGAGGGGCTACCTGAATGTGAAAATAAGCATCCTTTAAATCCACAGAGATAAACCAATCTCTCGGTCTGATGTGTGAGAGGATTTGTCTCAGCGTAATCAGTTTGAACGAGCGCTTCGAAAGCGCGCAATTCAGCGGTCTCAGGTCCAAGATTGGGCAGAGTCCGCCTTCTTTGGTACCAGAAAATAGCAACTGTAGAAGCCGCTCTCTCGGTCTGCTAGGGGCACTGTCTCTACAGCGCGATTTGCGAGGAGGTTGTGTATTTCCTCTCGCAGAACTGAGGCATTCTGCTCCCGTACAGTGGACATTAACACACCATTGAAACGGGGCGGCCTGCGGAAGAACTGAAGCGTGTAGCTGTTCTTTATTGATTTCATAACCCACTCTGATACCCCTGGAGAGTGCCTGCCACGCTTCTGTGAGCTGTGACAGCGGGCGAGGCAGACTGCACACCGTGAGGGATAACTCGCCGTTGGGGGGCGGGGAGTTTAATACCACACCAGTGTGAGAGTGAGTGATGGGGGAGAGGGGAGTGAGAGGAGGAGAATTGCTTTGATATTGAGGTGAGTTTTGTATGTTTTCGACTTTATTGCACTGCATAGTGGAACAGTCAAAACACAAACATGACAATTGCTCTCGCCGCCCGCAACAGGCAGGGGGGCGTGGTGAACTCACACAGCAGAGTGAGCAGACTTTTTCAGTGTCTCGTCTTCGGGGCTGGGTGCAGATTTCCCCCTCCGAGGGACAGCGTCAGGAACGCGGCTTTGATTCCGGTGCCGGTGGCCTGCCGTCTCTGTCGGGCGGGGTCTCTGGCCCTTCGAGCCCTGGCGGCGCTTAGGCCAAGGCTGTCTTGGTCTCACCGCCGGCTCATGTTTGCACCGAACAGCAGGAGAAGAGGTGTGCGGTCTTCCCGTGCGCTGCACTGAGGAGGAGCTGGAACGCGCAGGAGGGTTCGCGCCGGTGTGCTTTGGCAGGAAGTGGCTAATAGCTTTCGACTGTTTCTGCGCTTCAACGAAGCGCTCTGTGAACGTCTCTACCGCTGCGCTGAAGAGACCTGAGGGATTCACGGGAGCGTCCAGAAAGGCCGTTTTTTCCGAGTCCTTTAACTCGGTCAGAGTAAGCCACAGGTGACGATCTAGCACAAGATTCCCCATGTTGCGGCCGATCGTTTGAGCTGTCACCTTCGTCGCTCTGAGGGCCAGATCCGTGGCGCGTCGGAACTCTTTGAACAGTTCAGGGTCCGGCCCGTCCTCATCCAGAGACTTGAGCAGCTTGGCCTGATACACCTGGAGTATCGCCATCACGTGCAGTGTTGAAGCTGCTTGGCCCGCTGCGGAGAAAGCCTTGTCGGCAAAGTTTTCAGTGGCGCGGCAAGGTTTAGAGGGGAGAGACGCATTGTTTCTCACTCTCCAGTTCGCCGTGGCTGAAGGACAGAGATGGGCAGCGACAGCTTCTTCCACGGTGGGGGAGTTTAGCATACCTCACTTGGTCAGCGCCGTCCACAGAAGACAGGAGGGAGGATCCTGGGTTGTGCACTCGACTGGTGATGACTTCGTTATCTCATCGTGCACCTCGGGGAAAAGGGGGCCGGGCCTCTGCGGGGTGTCCTTTCGGCTGCGATCCGACTGGAGGTACCACTCGACCAGACGGCTTCGGGCCAGCTCGGCAGGAGGCGCCCACTCCAAACCGAGGTCATCAGCTGCCTTGGACAGGACGCTAAGGAGCTTGACATCACTATGATGGAGGTCCCCCGCGTCGCTGCCGTGGGGTGCAGTGTAATCCAGCGGGCTGTTAGACCACTCCTCTCTCCTCATCCTCCTCTTCAGCGCCCTCCATGGCACCGAAGGACACCACATCTTGTGCAATGCGGGAGGGGCTGAGAACAGCGGTCATGGAGCGCACTGGAAGGGGACCTGCAGCAGGGGGATGAGGAGCGCGTGGGCACTGAGCCGGCGCGGGCTCGTCACCTGACCCTGACAGATCCGCATCAGAAGCTTGCGGCATTTTCCTCCTTGGCTCGAAAGAGGCTGCAGAGGAAGAGCGCGGCAGGGCTAATTGGGCGAGTTCATCGCCTTGGACGATGGCCACATGGAGCTTGAGAGTCCGGAGGCTTATATCTCCGCAGTGGGGGCAGTCCGGCCCCCCAAGCGCCGCCTCTGCGTGTGTGCGACCCAGGCAGAAGATGCACGATTCGTGGCCATCAGAAAATTCGATTGGCTCTGCGCAGAAGAGGCAATCGCGAGTCAATCTTGTTGTCCGAGTCCGAAGCTCACCGGAACACAGAATCGCCGTGGCTGAAGGACAGAGATGGGCAGCGACAGCTTCTTCCACGGTGGGGGAGTTTAGCATACCTCACTTGGTCAGCGCCGTCCACAGAAGACAGGAGGGAGGATCCTGGGTTGTGCACTCGACTGGTGATGACTTCGTTATCTCATCGTGCACCTCGGGGAAAAGGGGGCCGGGCCTCTGCGGGGTGTCCTTTCGGCTGCGATCCGACTGGAGGTACCACTCGACCAGACGGCTTCGGGCCAGCTCGGCAGGAGGCGCCCACTCCAAACCGAGGTCATCAGCTGCCTTGGACAGGACGCTAAGGAGCTTGACATCACTATGATGGAGGTCCCCCGCGTCGCTGCCGTGGGGTGCAGTGTAATCCAGCGGGCTGTTAGACCACTCCTCTCTCCTCATCCTCCTCTTCAGCGCCCTCCATGGCACCGAAGGACACCACATCTTGTGCAATGCGGGAGGGGCTGAGAACAGCGGTCATGGAGCGCACTGGAAGGGGACCTGCAGCAGGGGGATGAGGAGCGCGTGGGCACTGAGCCGGCGCGGGCTCGTCACCTGACCCTGACAGATCCGCATCAGAAGCTTGCGGCATTTTCCTCCTTGGCTCGAAAGAGGCTGCAGAGGAAGAGCGCGGCAGGGCTAATTGGGCGAGTTCATCGCCTTGGACGATGGCCACATGGAGCTTGAGAGTCCGGAGGCTCATATCTCCGCAGTGGGGGCAGTCCGACCCCCCCAAGCACTGCGTGGGCGCGACCCAGGCAGAAGACGCACGACTTGTGGCCATCAGAGAGTTCAATAGGCTCTGCGCAGGAGAGGCAATCGCGAGTCATCCTTGTTTCCGAAGCTCTCCGGAAAACAGCAGGGTGTAGTGAGTAGTCTCTCACGGTGAGTAGTCTTGTTGATAGGCTTCTTGCTTCTCGTAGAAGGTTGGCTGAAGAAAAATATTCTGAATAGATGACGTACAAGAGCTGCTTTATATAGAGTGGGAGCCCCTCATATTTCTGGCGTGATTCAATAAGGCTTCAGTAGTATTTGGAGGAAAGGGTAATTCCCCATAGCAATGTAGAGTGACCGAATCGAAAGGGAACTCGCTAGACTGTGTGAAACTTAGAAAAATGGCTTTCAAAAATTGTATTTGTCAAGAAAAATTAATTATGGGTAGGACACTGGAAATCTGGCAGTTAGATGTTTTAATGAAAATGATCTCAAACTTGAACTTGAAACTTGTGGACTGATGTGAACGCCAGCAGGAATAATGCTCAGAATGATTGTGAATTAAACATCTCAGATGATGTTCATTGCAATGATTTTTATTGAGTTACAAGAAAAGATAGGTAACAGATTTAATTGCGAACAGTTACTGATTTTATGTGATATGCTGTCATGGCATTCGACACGTGCAGAAGTGGGTAACCCTAGACTGACAGCTGGCATCTGAAAAAAAAACTAAAGATTATTTACGATTAATTATTGTTGCCAAGTTATCTAGTCGTTGCTTGTTTACAGTGCTTTGTTATATAAAGTTATATATAGATAGTTATATTACAACTATCACTAATATGTATTCGTATCCCCCCTTGCATTTATCTAAATGAAGGAAGTCAACAGATACAAGCTCAAAAGGCTGAGTTGTAATGATATTAATGAGAGGAGCCCTTGTCTCCCTACAAGGCTTCTTTTGCTTCAAACAATGACAGCTTTTTGCAACATAATGTTCAATCTCTTGTTGCATATGGGGCCAAAAGAAACAGTCTCTGATCAGTGATGTCGTGCGATCAACTCCTTGGTGACCCATCTCATTGTGCAACTTCTTCATTACCACTGCCTTGTGTCTTTCAGGTAGGACCAGTTGGTGTCTATTTACTGTCTTCCGCTTTTGGATGCCGCTCTCATCCAAATGAAGCTTCTCCCATTCACGAAGAAGACATTGGCTCTGAGGGGTAAGAAATTTCATTTGTTTGGGGCAAGGTCGCATACCAGTTAATTTATATTTTATTACAGGCCCGATGTGTGGATCCTCCCTTTGACTCTGCTGTATTTTAGCCACAGGAAGAGGTTCATTGTCACCCATGTCAGGTGAACATGGAGACGAGTCAGATACTACCCAAGGTGAGGTATCTTCCTGCACTTCTACAGCTTGTGCGGTGGCTGCAATGCAGTCTGATGACATTTCCTCCGTACATTGTTCTATCATCCCTTCAATGTCTAAAGGCAATCTTGATAAACTGTCGGCATCTGCATTCTCTCGGCCAGGGCGGTACTTTATTGAAAAATGGAAGTCGGCTAACTCCGCTACCCACCTACAGCCGGTGGCATTGAGTTTCACACTGGATAGTACATACGTGAGAGGTTTATTATCGCTAAAGACTGTGAATGTAGGTGCGTAGTATAAGTAGTCTCTAAGTTTCTCCATTATTGACCACTTGAGGGCGAGAAACACTAATTTACCCGAATGGAGGTGGTAATTTCGTTCGGCAGCTGTGAGGGTCCGAGATCCATACGCTATTACACGGAGCTTAGCCCCCTGCTTTTGGTACAATACTGCCCCCAGGCCTTGGTTTGAGGCATCTGTATGAAGAATAAAAGGCAGTGAAAAGTCTGGAAATCCAAGGATAGGTGGTTCGACCAGATGGTTTATAAATTTTTCCAAGATCTTTTGGTGCTCATCCTTCCAAATTATTGGTTGGTTTGAAGGCACTCCTCTAGTCTTCACTTTACTTTTTGGCAAGTGTTTTCCACTCCCGGGGTGCTCTTGAGTAAATCATACAGTGGTAAGTTCTCACCACATACTCATGTGACTTTTCTGTCTTTGAAAGTTCTATAAAAGCTTGAATGTGATTTATCTCTAATCTTGGGAGAGCCATATTCACAAATCTTTTTAATTGTTCATCACGTGCTGGATTTGCACTTTCACCTGTATTGTCTGTCACTATGAACTCTTTGGAGTGTTACAAGCTGTTAGTGCATAGATAAGATCCCTAAAGTTGCAAAGACTAAAGTCTCAAACCCAAAGAGATATTCTTTATAAAAGTTAAGACTTGTCCACGTCCTCCTAAAACGCCTCGTTTAAACACGCCCCTACATGTCTACGTCACGATGTGGGAAGATTTGCATAACACCGCCCAAATGTTCACGTAAAGAAAGAAGGCGTAACTTTTATTCTCGCTGTAGTATTTTTGTTGCCACCGCCTCCATGTCGTGGAGACGCTGTGTGTTTCGTTGTGAAAATGAAACTACTTTGTTTGGTCTTCCAAAAGAGGACGATATCCGCTTCGTCATGCCTAGAGCTGATCCGTGCTGGTCGCTGAGGAAATACATCAACTTTGCGCTGTGGATCACCGGATCGGCTTTCACTGTGGATGAAGCAGAGTCCAGCCCGGGGTCGTCACGTGGTTGAGATTTGGCAGTTGTTGCAAAGCTGGTGTATGTCATTACTTCATAATTTTGGAGAGCACAGTCAAACATAATTTATATAGCAATGGCTCCTGGTCAGGAAAGCACCAGTGACGTTCATAGTGTGCATATGTATTTATGAAATGACCTCCATTAAAAAAAAACATCACGTCCAGAAAGGGGATCTTTCAAGTGTTACACAATCCCATAAGCCAGGAACGTTTCTTAGATTTGTAGTCACTACATTTATTGTTCAACAAAACATAACACCGATGCAATCAAATCCCAATCCTCTGAAAGCAACAATCCTCTATTTATTTAAAGTCTTGACTAAGGAAAGAAATGTTGTGGTTATCGCATCTGAAACACCACACCCACAGCGAAACAGAACAGGCAAGTGTAACAGGCACACCAAGGAGCTCTCTTTACATACATACACAGAAAAGGAGGACAAGCATGTACATGTACACAACACAAAATTACCATGCATTATACAATCATTAGACAATTTCTGACACATATATTTTATTTATTGTTATATTAGTTTTATATAATTAACCATTTAAAGAACGATAAATCCATTTAATTATGCATAAGTCATCACTGTCATGAGTGCAAAAATATTTACCTATATATTTTTTTGATTTCTATATTCCCTGATTATAAAGTGGAGTGTAAGTGGAGTCAACAATTAATTAATTGTGGCTTTCAAATGCTTATAGTAGAAACTCCTGATGTAAATCTCAAAACACTCAGTCCAGGGCTGCGTTTCCCAAAACCTAAGTACATTGTAAGATCTATTTCAAGCGGCAACCTCTGCTTGAAACCAACACGGAAGTGAGTAAAACTGCAATTCATCGGCAGACCACTAGAGGCTGGCTCCAAAAGGGAGTCAGTCCCATAGACCTGCCATGTTAAAATGCCCAACTTTACAGCAGAAAAAAATGTCCAGAAAAATTAATTATGGGTAGGACACTGGAAATCTGGCAATTAGATGTTTTAATGAAAATGATCTCAAACTTGATTTTTACCGCTATTTTGAAGTTATTGTAGGTACTTTGCCTTTGCACTGTCTGCAAAAAGTGAGATGTCACGCCAAGGCAAAAGGCAGTAACTTACACATTTTTATATACAATATTTGGGTGCTGATCACCATTTACAGAATCATTATAGTAACATCTGTATAAAATCTAGTGATCATTGGCTAGGCTATAATAACATGTAATGTGATTCTTTTTTTTTTCTGACCGTAACAACCAGACAAAAAGTTAAACGTTAGTGGAAACCGTTTTGCAACCAAAGGATGGACCAAAGGACCCCAGCCCGGGGTCGTCACGTGGTTACCGCAAGCCCACCAGCCGCTCCTTCGTCGAATCCGCCGGCCACGCCGTTCTCAAGCCCGCCGAACCCCGCTCACTCAAGCCCACCGTGTGTGACGCTGTGTGTTTCGTTGTGAAAGCGAAACTACTTTGTTTGGCCTTCCAAAACAGGACACAACTAGAAATCAGTGGTTAAGTTGTATTTACAACACTGTTCCAGAACAGTTCAACCCAAATATTCAGATGTGTGCAGTGCATTTTATGGAGGACTGTTTCCTGAACCTGCAGAGTAGCCTACAATGCGTCTGTGCACAAAGGCTGTTTCTAAAGTGGGGCAGCTCCAACTTTGCAAGGACAGTCTGGCGCTTCTAACTCACAGCCTGTAAGTATGTTTTTTATATTGAAAGAATTTGCCACTGACGATACAAACGTGTGTTTTGAGCAGTATAGAGTAGCGCTTGTTGTTTGTCGTTTCTCCGATCACAAATGCAGACATGGTTTTACATTTCGGATGCAAAAAATGCCTCGTTTGTAATGGGTTTTATTGGTGTTGTCTCATCATGTCGGGACACGGCATCACAGTATGGCAAGGGGCGTAACATTTCCGTCACACGCTTGATGTATTCAGCTAATCACAACACACTGGATAGCTGGCGAATCAGCGTACACCTCACTTTTCAGAATGATGAGCTTTGTAAAAACAATAATGAGCAACAATAATGTACAGTATGTGGAAAATAATGTGTTTTTTTTACCTTAAACTGCATAAACACATTGCATTACACCAAATACACAAAATAATGTTCTTTTTAGCAACATCATATGACCCCTTTAAACAGAATACCGTATAACTCCAGGCTGGCACAGTAATATTGATGAATGGCTAAACAAATGCAGAACACCGTAACTTAATTTGAGCGTTCTAAAACAAAGTCAAATAGCGGAAACTGATGATACGGTGTTCTGCCTTGGTTTCTCCGGGGCTTTTCTCCAAGATTCTTATACACATGATAAAGGAGGTCATATATGTCCCAAAATTATCAAGAACTAATTTTCGACCGAAAACGAAGTTATGGTGTTTTGTCTTTGCACGGCAGCACTGCTGTCACTATAGACGGGCGTGGTTTCAGCAACCAGGCACCTCAGCTTCACCCACGTCCCGCCTTTTTGCCCATTTTCGATTATCTGGGAGTGACACGCGGTGATGCACTGCCAAGAAGGCACGGTCGGTTCTGCCCACTTTAGGCTTCAAAAATGCACTTCGGAAAACTACGAGTGATGTCACGGACACTACGTCCATGTTTTTTTTACGGTCTATGATCTATTTCCGCCAATGGTCTCTATGGTTAACTCTCACAATGCTTTTCAGAAACGCAGGCCAGGTCACTCAAAATAAATTATTTAATACAACAAGAATAAATAAGAAATTATATTTAGTATAAAAGAACATCAATCCTATTTTTAGGACCAAGATTTTTTTTTTTATTTGCCAGTCAACATTAATTTCAAGACAATTAAGTACCCTAAATTCTCATTACTGTAATACGCTTGATATTTTATACAGTATTCTGTTCTGATTTAAAAATAGAAAATAATAAAAGGTAGTATAACATATACTTCCATGATGTATAAACTCGTTACAATTTATCATCTTTTTCAGACTACAGCAATGAAAATGACAATAAAACTAAATGTCTTAATCCAAAACAAAAAACAAAAAACATAATGTTCCAAAATATAGGCTTAATTAAAATAATTTCTTAATTTTAGGGTGAACTTAAGTGTATGTTCTTTAAGAATCTAAATCATTATTAATGTTGTGTAATTTATCTGAATTGATTGAATTTGAGGATTTTTTTAATTGATTTAATAGGATTTTTTTACTTTGCATGTTGAATATAAATACACTAATAATATTCAGACACTTACAAAAGTCATTGGTCAGCGCATTTGCATCTAAATATCAACAAGGCAGTTTGACAAGTAAGGCATAAATGTGTTTCTAGAGGCACTTTCTATCTTGTGCTGTAAATGTGTCTGTTTAACAAAGATAAATACCAATACAAAAACATCAACATAGGCATGGTACATTAAATCCCACAGTGTTCAGCAGGATTGCATATGAATAATGGAGAAAGCAGAAATGGAAAAGTCAAATGACACAAATCCACTGATGGTCACCAGAGCACAGGGAATTCTAGTTTGCTGAATCCAGGGTCCTTCCTGAGGTCCCAGTAAGTGCCATTGCTCACCCAAGAGTCGTCTTCAGCACGTCTGAATTAAAGAAACAGAATTACAGACAGAAACTCGTGACGCACCCAACACAACTACACCTTTGTGTTCATAAAAGTCACTTACTTGAAGAATCGGGGCGAGTGTGTAATGTTGTTTTCTTGCAGGACTCTCCTCCTCTCTCTTTGGAGTACTTCAATTCTTTCTTTCTGTTCTTCTGCTCCAGCAATATCACCCTCTTCAAGTAATCTAACAAAAAGCGGACCAATAAGTAGCCAACAGCATTAGTAATGGGAAAAGTTCACTTTGGGACAACATAAATGCATCATTCATATTTTAAATGTCTCTAATTATGTCCATACCTTTGGTCTGGCCTAAAACGGGTGTCCGTCAGGGGCAAGAGTGGCTTTAAACCCTCCTCCAATTCATTTAACTCAATTGCGAACTGGGTGAATCCATAGTACTGCTCATGGTCCTCAGGCATGGGATCTATATGCACACAATACAGAGACAAAAACGGTGCTGTTTTAGCACCCTCTTGAGGTCATTATCCACAAATTCATACAACATAATGAATATAGGTTAGAGGTTTGAACCATTTAAATACAGCTAAACAGGCTCTTCTGGACTGGTCTGAAACTCACTTGCTCTCCAGATGCAGGTTGCTGAAGGCGGTTTGCCCAGATATAAGGCCTCGTTCCATTTGCCAAACAGAGAGTGAATGACACACCCATTTGAATCAGTGACCATACCCTCTACCTCATTAGCATTCAGACCTCCAGATCTTGACTGAATATAAGACATGCATAAAACTAATTATAATAAAAAAAACAAAACAGGAAATTATTCATAAAATGAAAATTTGGTCAAGGTTATTCCACAAGAGGAAGATGTAGGCAAGACAAACACGGATGCACACATAAATGAAATTAAAAGCCTGTTTTGCATGTCTTGATAGTCCCACCTTAAGGAAAGTGACTTTGCAAAGACTGACGTCTCCCATCGTGGTAGAGTGTTTGACTGATATTTCCCCATAGTGTTCGATCCAGCGCTGACCGCTCAGAATGTTATGAATGCATGAAGTGACTTTACTCCACTCATAACGATCTGCAAAACTGAGAATGAGTGAATGAGTAAAAGAGAGACAGAGAGAAACTGAGAGATGGTGGAGAAGGTGGGATGGAATAATGGAAGTGAATCGGAATCAGAACAATTCAGGATAAAATGAAATCACCCTGGCAGCTCTAAGTGAGTGACTCCCATGGGAACGATCTCCATGGATTTTCCCCAAAACTTATTCTTCCACCGGACATCTAATGGACATACAGAGAATGGACATTAAAATCATGCTAAATGCTAAAAGTCATGACACTAGCCAAGTGTGCTTCACTTACCTTGCCAAAATGTGTAGGTTTTGGACTCGCAGTGACAAGCAGACACAGGTGGATGGTGACTGACCTGAGGTACACAATGTAACGGTTCATGTGAGCGTGTTCACCTTTGTGTTTTGGTAGAAATAAAAGAAATGTGTACACTTACCTGTTCAGCAATGAAGTGAAAGCCCTTATCTGGCCGGAGACACTCGTATGTCTCTCCTAATATAGGATTAAATGGTTTTCCTCCTGCTCTAGTGAATGAACACGCATATGCAGATACAGCAAATGCTGCTATATAGACCTACAGACAAACCACACAAGAATAGAATATATGGTTAAAAGAATAGTTCACTCAAAAATGAAAATTTGCTGAAAATGTTCTCTCCAAAATGTAGATGAGATTGTTTCTTCCTCAAATTTGGAGACATTTAGCATTAAATCACTGGCTCACCAGTGGATCCTAATGGGTTCCATCAGAATCAGAGTCCAAACAGCTGATAAAAACATCACAGTAGGGATGGGTATTGTTTACATTTTATCGATATTGATACCGCTTATCGATACTGTTATCGATACTATTTGATGCAAAAAGATATGAAGTGAAAAGTTGTTGAAAATTTCAAGTTATTTTATTACTGCTGAACTTTAGCAACTGTATTAAAGTTCTTCAGTCAAGAGCAGTGAGTTATTTTTCTCTTTGTGTTTTATTTTGTTAACATTAAAGGAAGAGTTCACCCAAAAATGAAAATTGTGTCATCACTTACTCACTCTCAAGTTGTTTTATACCTGAATGAGTTTCTTTCTTCTGTTGAACATAATAAATTATTTTGAAGAATGTGGGAAACTAAACAGTTGCTGGTCCCCAGTGACTTTCATATTTTTTTCCCCCTACTATTAAAGTCAGTGGGGACCAGCAACTGGTTACCCACATTCTTTAAAATATGTTCTTTTGTGTTCAGCACAAGAATAAATAAAAATGAATACATGTTTGGTACAACATGACTGAGTAAATAATGACAGAATTTTAATTTTTAGGTGAACTATCCCTTTAATGACAAGCGGCAGCATGTTTAGTACTGTTCCTTTAAGAGCTGCACGCATCCATTTCTCTCTCAACTATTTACTTTCACTTTAGACATAATTAACTGTGTTTATATGTAACCCTTGTGTGTTTTTGACAGTATTAGCGCAATCAGAGACAACTAAGATAACTAAGTAATCAGGTGCTGTTTGACCGGCCGGTGTATACGCTCTGAGTAAGCACATGGCAGAACAGCACGCGAATAAAACGTTTAACCGACAAGGCTTTAAAGCACGCGGAAATAATGTACTTTTGTGATTGCGAATAAGTCTCGTGAGTGTAACTCTGCCGAATCAACGCGAGTTTCAGTTGGAGCTGGAGCCGCGAGACATAATACAGCGGATTGCTTGAGGTAGATGTTGTTTTGTTAGTAAATGTTTCATTATATATGACTAGTAGTGATGTCCGGTTCGCGAACGAATCGTTCGATTTAACCGGTTCTTCTTAGTGAACCGGTTGAACCAGTTCACCAAATCGGACTGAATCTTTTGAAACGGTTCGCGTCTCCAGTAAACATTAATCTACAAATTACTTAAGTTATTAACTTTTTTTACGTGGCTGGCGGAAAAGAACCGAACTTCCCATCACTAATGACTAGTGTTGCCTCCTTCGTTCACTATTACACTACTGCACAGACCGCACATGCGCATGGATATCACACGCACGTCGAGCAAATGTCGGCCACATCATTCAGTAAGGAACATGACAAGCATTAGCTTCTAATTCGTCGTTAGCATTGAAGTATACACAGATAAAACAACGCAAGTATCGATAACGGTATGGTTTGTCCTGAAGCTTATCGGTATTCCGGTATCGACCCAATTACGTACCGGTCCAAAAAAATACCGGTTCTCGGTACCCATCCCTATCTACAAGTAATCCGCACCATCAATTACCGTCTTGTAAAGTGAAAAACTGCATGTCCATCATTAAAGGGGTGGTTGATTGCGATTTCACTTTTTTAACGTTAGTTAGTGTGTAATGTTGCTGTTTGAGCATAAACAATATCTGCAAAGTTACGAAGCTGAAAGTTAAATGCAAACGGAGATATCGTCTTTTAAAATTCTGGCAGTTTAATGCCTATTTGTGACATCACAAACCCTGATAAACCCCGCCCTCGGGAAAAGGCAGCAAAGGGGGCAAGGCCATGCTGCACTGCTTTAGAGAAGAGGAAGAGAAAGATGTGCACGTAAAAATCTGTTCATATATGAATCGTGATTCTGTCGATTCTGTCTTCTAATGGATTCACAAGTTTCAAAACCAATGTTCTAAAGCAGCGGTTATCAATCCTGTTAATCCTGTTCCCCTGCTCTGCACATGCTCTGCATCTCTCTCTCACTCTCTCTCTCTCATTCAGCTCAGCTCCAACAATGAACTGTTCCA